CTTGGTATGTACGAGTAGGTGCCGGGTGGTACAGAGTACGATCGCATGCAAGTTGTTCTATTGCACAACAACCACTGATGCCGTCTAACCCTCTAGCAGAGCTCGCCTTCTGCTTGTGTGGGTTAAGGTCCTACACACTTGGTACAGGTGGTATCGTAGATTGTAGCCCAAGCTCGGTTCGTGGCGGAAGAATGAAGGTAGGAAGAGCAACCTACCACCCCATGAAGGAATACATCGCAGTCAACAAACAAAACATTCCAGAGAGTAGGAACATTTTCTAGTGTCCTTCTACTCACTTCTTGCTGAGTTTTCCACTTTTCGCTGTCACCATGTTATACCTGGCATATGTTGTCATTGCTGATATCCCAGTAAGCGCTGTGTCCAATGTGAAATCCAGCCCCGTTCTTCTGTACAATTACGCAAGACACCACGTACTTGAAGGGCTTGCTGAGGTCGTGAAGCTCTTGCATACTTCTGTCACATATAGTGTTAACCCAGTGAGAAACCTTGACAGGAGAAAAACGAAAACGATCCAAGCTATGGTTAGGGTTGGGATGATACAAACGATGTTTGAGTATGTGCGGCCAAGCGCAGGAGGAGGCTATTGGTTCAAACACCAATATCCTGACCGCACCTCTCACAAGGCAGGGGAAAGGGAGAGGCCATAGGAGCAGCTATTGCTCTAGACTCGCAACAGATAGGGAATATGCCGGCGATGGCCTCTTACGTTCAAACCGGTCAATCGCGTTGAAAATTAGACTCCTAGTCAATGCTTCGTTCACCGTGGTTATCATAACTTGAGGCATGGAGTGCCCAGCACGGAAAATGGACGCTTCCAAAACTTAAATGCGCGTCCGCTTTTCGACCCCAACAAGGGGTGATTCTGAAAATTCCTCCAATGACGAACCCATCCTTTTATGCACGTGGGTGGTGTTGTGAAATGTGCCCAACTGCTGTCCGAGGTACCCCCAATACCGGCCTGGCGTGTTGCAGGAGAAACAGAAAACACACAACGTCCGTGGACGGAGAACGCTCGTTGCTCATTCGCAGTTCACCAACTAAAGTAGTAGGTTACCCGTGGATGTTGGGATACTCCGGGTGCGGATGCCCTGCCAGTGGCAGGAGTACCCCACAACGTGACAGCAACTGCTGTGACGACTGTATGAGGGGTACACGCAATACGCCAGTTGATACACGCAATAGCCAGTTGACACACGCAATCCCCCAGTTGATGGCGAGTGCCCGAACTTCGAGCCAACGCGACAAACAGTCAAAGATCCCTTCTGCCAAAGGAAGTGTTTCAACTTGAATCATGGGCCTAACGCGAAACAACAACACCCTATCAATCATTCTCACCTTTTCTTCGAGATAAACTTCTGTGCGCAAAATACCGTCCACGACTGTCATCAAGATGCTCTCCACCTGCTCCGGGATGAAGGCTAGCTGCTCCGACGTCTCGATATCCATGGGGCCACTTGTCTGTCTTTGCTGAGATCACGGTCCAGCACACTCCACAACAAGCAAACGTACCCTTTACGTCTTTGCGCGGAAAGACCGATACGGTCAGTGTGTGTTGGGCACTTGGAGCCGGGTATCCAAGCGGCTTGCGACGGAGGTATGTAGGTGCTGGATCGATGGGTGTTTCGGGGTAAACAGCAAATATCTTTGGCCGCTGGCCTGCTCTTGTCACCCACAGGCAGACCTGCGGAGGGCCGTACGCAAGTAGTGGTTTCGAAATGAGACAGACGAGATCGCCTACGCGGATAATTTCAACACGCGGTACACAAAGCGACAGATACGAGTTGAATTGAGGGTGCAGAGGAGAGGAAGGAATGGTTCTCCCGCGGCCAAAGTGCCGTTTCGGAAATGACCCCGTTTCAATTGTCCCGCCATTTTTGCATCCGCACTCCACGATCCGCATATCCGCATCGCTCCTTCTCTCTCTCTCACTTCTTGTTCTCGCAGGCACCATTCCACAAACAAAAATAATCGCCAGGCTGTCCGCTGGGCTGTACCATACCTGGGAAGCATGGCGGGTGCACGTGCCCCCATACCGCCGGTCAGCCTACCCGACAATGTCGTGCTTATGGAGGACATGGCGCTATACGCCGAAAGGATCGATCTCCAGGGCATGATGCAGGAATACCTCCGACGGTGCGAAACGGGAATAGACGATCCAACCGTACAATACCAGTCTGCTGTAACCATCTACAAGGACGATCTATACATTTTACTAAGGTTGCCATTTGAAAATGAGTTGCCGACTGCGAGAACCTGTAGCCAAAATTGATACCAGGTTTTCAGATGTACTGTCATCCCACAAGTTCTGGGCCTCATGTCACACCTCTCCGCGTGCTTCGCATGCATGTATTAGGCACAAACAGACCAACACCTTTCCACGCACCCTCCTTTGAATTGCGTTCGCCTGTCTACCGTAGGGTTCTTCTAAGCAAGCCCCAGGATCCCATTGCGTTTCTGATAACTCAAATGAAGAAGGTGAGCCAGGGAGAGCGTATTGGATAGACTAGTGCGCCGACGCAAGGGTCGTACATGCCGCCGTGCTGCACCTACGTTGCCATCCGTAGCCCTACTGTTTACACAGTGAGCAGCTGCTGTACTGTTCGGCACATGGATGCTCTGGTATTGTTAGTCTAGACACGGTGTGCTCTTCAGCAACAACAATCATGTGCCGGTTGAAAAACGGAAGCGTCGTCCCAAGAAATTGGCGACCGGAGGGACCCATGATGTTCTCTTCACTCGCGTGAGTGTGCAGAGTAAGGAATGCGAAGGACGGGTCGCAACCGCACTCCAGGCACCAAACAACAAAATCCCTCGCGTTCGGCATCCGTGCACCTACCCGCGGCCCGCGACCGACGTAGAATCCGTACAAGGCCCCAGGTTATCCTTCCGAGCAGGACCAAAGAACAGCCGAGGAGAAAGCCAAACACGCCTGTAGGAAAAGTTCAACGGAGAGGGCCAGGCTCCTCCAAGAAATATTCCAAGCCGTAGAGGTATGACGAGGCTTGAAGTTTATGTAATCAATTCCGTTTTTGCCAGGACTTGTCGTTGATACCCTCGGTAAATTTGGCACGAATATTTCTTTAATTGTGCGCCGCCGGTGTTGTTTATCCCGACAATGTCGCCATCCACAAAGCCATCGATCCTGACTACCAATGACGAAACTTACACGACTGCCCCCTCCCCCTTGCATCGTTATCACAACTATAATCATGACGTCCACACCCTTACGGACGACATACCCCACGAAACTAATAGCCTGAACCAGGAACTCAGCTGGTTTCCAAGGCAAGACTAATCGTGATGCTCAACGAGAGGCCGGGCATCCTGTTGGAGCGCTTCCCCCACCACGTGGATAACATCCTGCGAGCCGTGGCCAGGATGAAGACGGAGAGTGATGCGGGCATAACACTCGCGGAGTTCCGCGAGAACGCCGGGAGGGTGCTCCGGGAAGCAGGGGGCGGCATCAAATGAAAACTGTCGTTGTGCGCCGAGACCAAATATCAACTGGCCGGCCCTTGCCTGGGGCACATACAAGTGGATGTCACATTGACGATGCCGTTTTTTGTCGGTTGAGTGCTTGTTGTTTGACGTGTTGTGCTAGAAGAGTTGGAAGATCAAGTTCTACCGCCTTAACCGTTTGGAGCACCGCTCTGTTTGAAGTGTTGTTGTGGAACGTGGGAGCACCTCTCTTCTTGTTCTTTTGTTTTGGAACGTTGGGTGCTCCTACAGAGGTCGCTCTCCGCGTGAGAGGAAGTAACCGGCGGCTGAAGAAATGCCTTCAGGCGTGCACCGTCCAGGGTGCGAGGCTACCTACTAGACCACCGGTCGCCCCGGTGGTCTAGTAGGTAGCCTCGCAGCCTGCTAAGGGCCAGGTCATGGGTTCGAGTCCCGGCAGAGTGAATTTTTTTCTCACTAAATATATCCTGGTCTAGGATGAAAGCGACGCGTTGCAAAGCTCGTTGTTAGTAAACCATAATCGACTTCGTAAGTCGCGAGGGAAGGGATTGCTGTACCCTTCTCGCGATAAAAATACCTCAGGCAGGAACCGCAGGAGGGGGTCCGACCCCCCCCTCCTATGTGACCCCGGTTGGGTCGTCTAGCTAGTACAAGTGGAGGATAGGGGCCAGAGGGGCAGACGACAAAGTCCAATGATGGAAGAAATAAATAAAAAATTCCACCGGTCTGATATCACTGCTTCGCGGTCAATGTCTATGCACACGACGAACTTTTTCCCGGTGTGCTCCAGATAGGCACTTGAAAATGGCAGATCAAGCGGTTCCTGACAGACTCGGCCCTTGACTGCACACTGGTCCGCTGGTGAAACACAGGAGAACCTCTCTACCCTCGCCACATTTCATCGACCTGTTGATGTCACGCAACGCTTCGGTCTGTCTGATGTAGTTTGCGCATGGCACTGTTGACATCGAAGTCACCGTTCGCCTGACTAACATCAGTTCGGGTTATTCAGGCACTCTGAGCATCGAGCGGGGGCCGGCGCTAGCTCGCCATAAGGTCGAGTCGCTCTGTTGTGCTTCAGAGCTTGTTCCGGCTCCGCCTTGTGCACAGACGTTCGGAGATTATAAGGGCATGCGACGGATATTCGCAGGGTCACCACGATTAAAGTCGTTGCCGCCGTCGTCATGCGAGGTCAAAAACTCGCAGGATATAGTCTAGGGACGGACATGACCAAGTCAATTTTCGGTCAATCTCTATCGCTTGGATACATGGTGGGGACACCGAATACTGAGGTGATGGGATTGCAAGTGCTTTCGTTCCACGCGTCCCGCAAGAAACAGCCGGTCACCCCGAAACATGTCCACAAAAGCACGGCAACAGATCCACGCCCCTCGATGTAAATTTGTGACGTCATCAACAAATCCCTCCGAAACTAGCTCGGACTGGCGGCCTCTCTTGATGATATTTTGATTGTTCTCTGAAAAGCAAAGGCTCACTTGAGAGAGAAATGCCCAATGATGCTTGGGTTTCAACGAGGTTTAATGCCATCATTCGGAGAAAAATTAAACTTTGTGTTCCACTTGGAGAAAAACAAAGCTCAAGGATACCTTCTTTTTCCCCGTTCATGGCGTTGTTTCTTATGATTGCGAACTTCAAGCGAACCCTGGACAGGCCGCGAGGGACCTTCGTTGTATCCCCAAATCCAGGAAGTGTGACAGAGCTGCTACGATAAGGGGTGCAAGGACGTCGAGCTAATTCCAAACCCCACAATCGATCTTAGGACAGCCCTCGGTTGAAAAATATTTGCCGTTGATGGAAACGATCGAGCCACGTGTCGAGCTCCAAACAATCCCCCCCCTTTTCCCTCTCCGCCACGGAGTTAGCCACACAACTATTTCCAACCGAACAAAAATACATCCAGTTCGTCTTTGTGAAGGTTCCCCCAACCACCACCTACATCCCGAGGACGCGTGGTCACCCCCCCCCCCCCCCCAGCTTNCCCCTTTTCCCTCTCCGCCACGGAGTTAGCCACACAACTATTTCCAACCGAACAAAAATACATCCAGTTCGTCTTTGTGAAGGTTCCCCCAACCACCACCTACATCCCGAGGACGCGTGGTCACCCCCCCCCCCTCCTCAGCTTCCTTCCTACAGTAGTCCTACTTCACCACAAATACCTCCTCCACAGCACCGATGACATCAGGTTTGCACCGGTCCACGGTCACTCGTCCAAACTGCACCAGCCGCAAGAAAGGCACACAGCATTGCAGTGCTGGTTGTTTATCGTGTCTACCCACTCGTATCGCCAGCCTTCTGCCAAATGCCGTACTATCACAAGCCAAAGCAGCCCGACGAAAAATTAGAGGGGCGGAAGGTGCACGCTAATTCATCGCACAACTCATAATCTTAAAATACAACCGCATAATATTCTACCGCCCGTTTTTTTTGTCCTGAAACGTTACGATTAGGACACATGAAGAAAACCAAAAACAAACGCCGTTTTCTCGCACCTGTTGCAGTGGGGGTCGGTTTACACCATAAACCTCAGGAACCTGCTACGTGTCCGAGATCGGAACAAGAAACTCACGTACGGCAACGCTGGATCACGACCGAAAGCTACCGCCGAAGGAACCTCTCCCATCCCCAAGGAACGTCGCCTCCAGGCATGTCAAGAAGTCCCGACACAAGGGCAATCACGGACGTGCAGGCAGAGAGCGAAACGCGGCAAAACTCCGACGACACTGGCGAGGATGTGCCCCGAGGAGGCACGCATGTGTATCCATCAGAACCGAGTCCGAACAAACACCCGTATCAAAAGTCTATGGTCGACGATACGCGACGCGGCGGCGAGAGCTCTTAGTAGATGCCTGCACGACAACGACGACACCACGAACCAACGTGTGTGCCCGGCGCACAAGTGGGGTTCGGCCACGAACGTGTGATACATAACAGCTACCTGCAGGTTCCCCTTCCCCTTTGAACAGCGCGAGAAGGTTGCCCCTCCCCTCCAAACCAGTTCTCAGCGAAACGAGCAAAGAGATTCGTTTTTCACCGGCTGTAATTGGGGGGCTTGAACTTGGTTCTGAACCAATCGCGGACGACAACCACGCTTATCGCGAGCGGTGTCGACGCAAACACACACGAACACACAGCAGAGACGGTCCTGGAAAATGCTGCCTACAAAGCAGCAGTCTCTCATTCATGCTAGATGATATCTTGACTGTTGGTTTTTGGTTCTGTATTTTAAGCCTTTAAGACGTCGCGCCGAGGAAGATTCCCTGGTCAGCCTTCCAAGAGGAGGTGGCCGATCCAGTGCAGGTCACCTCGCTCTGCCCGATGATGGGGCAGTTGGGGCAATTCGACTGGGTGAACTTGCTCCCGCTCGTCGTGTGGAGGTACCTGTGGTTTTGTCACGTTCCGGGTGGGGAGGGGGTGCTCAGGTTTTGAATGCTATACTAATGATCACGCGTTCTCGAGAGAACCGCGGCAGGGCCGATCGCCGATGGCCTATCGTTCCTTCAGCGGGTAGGGCGGACGAAAACTCGTTTCATTGGAAAGTAGTGAAGACGTGGATGAGGGGGGGGGTCACGTGACGAGTGCGCTGTCCAATGGGGAAAACATCGCCTCACGTTTTGGTGTTCACGGAAAATGCTATTAGCCACAACTACCGTGCGGTTCTTCGCCCGTAGACGTGCAACAGACCGATCACCTTTCGGTGCTCTCCACCATACCTGATCCGTATCTTGGGAGCTTCGACATACACATACCACCTTCTAGGGGTAACGCCCGCTCATTGCGAAGACTTGAACACATATGTATACCCTTCGACTGCGGCAGAACCTCGACCGGGTAGTCTTTCTATGCTTGTATGCATGCATATGGGTTCCAACCCTCTCCCCCCCCCCCCCCCCCCCCCCCCCCCCCCCCCCCCCCCCCCCCCCCCCCCCCCCCCNCCCCCCGCCCCTGCCCCCACCGTGCGACATGGCTTCAGCAAGCCAGAATGTGCTCGCATCACGTCACACACATCAAGCGGTAATTCGAGACGAGATCTAGAGACATCACAATCACAAACTCACTTTTTGGTGGAGACGTGCTTGAGCCTGACGGACTCGTCTCGTGCCCAGTTTTCGCTGCCCTTGTGAACGCACGTAACCTCCCACGAGTCTCCCGCATCCCCCTCGCCGCTGTCTCCGAACGCACTGACCTGAAGCGGCGACAGACGCACGAGAGAGATAAAAGGCAAATCGGACCAAACGCCAAGTATTGAGAGACGCAGCATCAGTCCCTCGTATTCGAGAATCATGTGGTGGAACAGAGTGGTCCTTCGATAATTGTCCAGTTCTTGAAACAGGTAGTGGAATTTTGATGCTTGTACGGTAGTGCTGAGCTCACCCAGCATCCGTATCTGGTGCCCATTATGAGTACATACTCTTCGAGAAACAATTCTCCTTCATATCTTCAAGAAGCCCAATTTGTTGCCACCCTTCGCGTAATCTACTACGACGGTGTCGCCGCTGTTGCCAAGGACAATTCCACGATGGAGGGGTGATCTCCTCTACCGAGGACCTTCAACCCGTGGTCAAAAAAGAGCGCGCGTCTCCTCTATGACGTAAAAAAACAAGCAGCCAACGCATCAGGCACGACAATAGCCGAGAACCTTGGGTTGGGGCTGCAAAACAGCGCTAGACTAAGGCGACCCAACGCAACGGATTCGAAAGTCGAGGGTATGAACGCCGCACGGGAGATTTTCAAGTGTTCCTTGTGAGGCCTCGTGTGGCTGACTTTCGTACATCGGCTGGTGTCGACTTCATTCCTGTCTTGCAAAGCGTGTTTGGAATTCTTGCCCGCAAAAACAAAGCCATGACTCCTGTGTGTCCTTCCTCCCGTGTTACCCCAGTTGGTGCGTCCAGACATTTTACCGAAAGGTGCAAAAAAAACTAACCACAGAAGAAATGGCATGACAAAAATATAGCGAGTGATATACAACAAATAAGAAAACTCTCACCTCCTGGCCACGCGTTAGCGGAGACTTGAAGTTGTGAGAGTGCAGGTTCTTCCCGGTGGAGACGTGCTCTAGCCGCACCACGCTGCCGCACGCCATGGGCTGTCCCACCTCGCACGGCAACGCTCCGTCGCCCTCCTTTACCTTGACAACAACAACAACAACAATGTTTCACGCGCCATGTGCACACACGAGGTGGAGTCGGGCGCCAAGGGGTGGTGACGTCGTCATCGCTTATACACAAGAGCACCAAGCGCACCAGCCCAAGAGGGGCAGGGGGGGTGGTTGGACTAGTTGACCCCGGAAGCAACACACCAGAAGCGATGCACATTCCCACCGAAAGCCGGTGCAACATATCATAGGGCCATCACTCCTCCAACCATTCGAGAACAAGAAGCGCCGTTGCTCTCGACGCCCACGAGAAGACCCGACCATGAAGCCCGAACCACGACGGAATACCAAAATCACAAAGCCGTCAATCGAGCAACGCGACGGTAGCAAAAAGACACGGGTCGCTCTACCTACAACCCACACAATTGTACCTCATCCTCGAGTTCTCACGGGCGGCTGACCATGCTCAACCTACGAGGAGCTACCAACACCTCCGTAGACACCAACGATCTCCGTACACGTCAACGACACGGTCGTTCGCCTTCAAGTGAAACGGAAGTTTCTTACAAGCTCTGCTTCGTGTGTACACTTGAGGGAAGAGAAAACTGCAAGCTTTCTCGAGTAACAAAACTGAAGGCAAGCACAGCAGGAGGGGTGGGTGTAGGGCGGTTCAGGGGAACCCTTCTGTGCGACTACGGATTAGAGCTCCTACCCAGCAGAAATGCTGCGTGTGTCAGCGCTGATTTACAATGACGATGACACACACACAAAAAAAAAGTTTCTCACGATCCACATAGAGCCCTGGTCGTCCTCGCCGCCGTGCCCCGTCACACTCTGCTGCCCGCTGCCGCCGCCCCACTTGATGACGTGCGAGTGCAGGTGGAAGCGGGTCGTGTCGTGCCTGAGCTTGATCACGCTTCCGCAGGTCACCAACACTGAGTCGGTCCGCGGTCGCGGCGGTTGTTGCCAAAACACAGTTGCCATTGTTGTTATCGGAGCATACACAAGGACAAAGGGTGCCGTGTATGGATCATACCGTGCGTGGGCGGGAGGGGGGGGGGTACGTCGATCACTAAAGGAAAAAAACAACAAAACGTTATTTCTCCTGTGGCGGGGAGGAGATCGCGGATTGGTCGGGAGCTCGAATGCTACCACACCTGTCGCGGGCGAATGCTACCCCAAAGCACCCCACACCCGCACCAAAACACGGGCGTCTACACGCAGCAAGCCAGAAACGCATGGGGGGGCTTTTCAGTTTCGTGGTTGATTCCAGCATCAACGCCATTTCACCTTCACTGCAAGAAAGTATCCACACTGCATGTAGACTAAGGAAAACGACGCTGGTGCCACACACCCCCTGGTAACTTTTGGGGGGGTGTCCAACACGAGAGTGATGTCCAGCAGGAAAAAAGGGTGAACGTGCCATACATGGCCATGCAGCTACGCCACTCTGCTGTGTGACGCTGGTGTGGGCTAGTGGTGACAGGGTCGGTGGTTGGGACATGGAGGAAATTACGGTGTACAGCAGACGTTACTTACCCAACATGCGCAGGGACGTTGCGAGTTGAACTTCGCACACCGATTTCCTACACGTCGACTACCCGGCTGGCTAAATAGTGCGGAACGCCCGCTCAGACTCATCACGAGCTGAACGCGGTGTGGTGTCGCTCGAAGGCCAGGGAGAGACACCAGCCCGCGAAGATTCCCATGCATCCGGTGTACGCAGTATCTATAGTCCGTCTCTCGTTAAAATGCTGCTATTAATAGCAACATTCCTCCAACCGCTAACGCAGGGACGACTTTCCGTGTGTGTGGCCCACCAAGCCGGCTGTGAAGGTGATGCCTGCACTATCTGTACAGCTGTACGGGAGAAACGACTACCGCTTGTGGTGTCAACTTGTGTGTTGCTACAGCAGTATACTTGCATACCAAGACTTTTCAGTACACTGCACAGCAGCACGAACTTCGTAGTACGCGGACTATTTGCTGTTGATGAATCCCCCGTCATGGTTGTCTTCGTGAGGGCTACACATGGACCACGACTACAAGGCCTGCCTATGGCGGCTTGCAAACTAGGGGTTAATCAACCGCGTACAACGTGAAATCCACCCAGGGGTGTGCAGCGATCGCGCCCTATCGCTCCTCGAGATACAGACTCCTTCATCCTCCCTGCAACAATGGACGGGCGAGCACCGGGTGGTATCTCAAGACCGCAGGTATTACTTTACGTCGCAGAGGAAGCCCATCTACGCACCTTCACCGGCCCCAATGGAGCACGGGGCAGCGAGGAGAAGAAGCGCCGCCACCCCGGGTACTCTCTCCACTAGCTTCATTTTCGTCGATCGCCGTACAACGTGACACCCACGGAGCTGGCGGATCCAATTCTCGCTCTACAGCGAACACTAGCGGAGTTCCTCCGCTTTGCAAGAAAAGCACTTTGTTGGCGGAGATTTGCTAGCCCTTGGCGGCACAATTCCTGCCAGCTACACTTTCCCGTGGGCAGAGATCTCAGCCAGGGTGTACGACGCGTAGTCTAGGTGCCGTAGGAACGCGAGGTGCATGCTGGGGGGCTTCAGAGAACTTCGCTGGGATGGACCGATGGCTTGCTTTGCTTCACAGGGGGTGGGGGGCGAGAATCTCCCCGGCCCCTCAGGTAAAAACGCCTCCTGTGTCGTTGCTGTGAACGGTTTGGTGATGAGACTCGTCCGTCTCTCAGTCAGCAGCAGCAGTGGCTTTTTTTCCGAGCTTCATGTGAGTACGACGAATCGCGGGAGCGCGCACGCGTTGTTTTCATTCGCTGTGCGACCAATGCTGTGTTCGATTGAGACATGATGTTGGTCTTCTTTTTTTCCCCGTGGTGGCGGGGTGTGCGTTCAAAAATGGCCGAGGGAGGTGGTGGGTTGACTTCTCGAAATAGAGAGCGCGGAAAACGACCCGCATTTTTTTTACGGTCTCCATTGTAACAGCAGCAGCACACAGCAGCGCCAGCCGTGTCACCGACGCCCACCAGGTATCGATTCATCACCCTGCTGGACGTCGACGCCGACCCGTTTTCGTGAAGAATGATCATGGTGGACAGTTATATTCGGTGCTTTGCCAAGGAGCAGTAGGCAGCAACTTGCAGTTCGGTATGACCTGTGGGGCTACGAAACGTTCGAGGCTTCACCGCTTCCCACCTCTCCATGTCTCACCGACCCCTGTTGTGGCTTCTTCGCTTGACACGTGTATTTACTCGGCTTGTGTGACTGAATCATTTGTGCCCGGCAGAATTCGGACATCACAAAATGGAGCGCGAAGCGTCGGCTGAGGTTGGGATGAAGAGGAAGCGCCCGTGGAACCTGGTCCGTCAAGGTGAGAGACAACAAATCGGGCGCGCAAGGTGTTGTACACTAGCTGATTTATTTGTGTGCACAGATTTTAGCTGATTTGGCATGCCAGTCTTGCGCCTTCAAGAGCACTGGAGAGAGGGATCGAGATCGAACAACACCGGTTCGGATGCCTTGAAGCAAGATGCCGCCCCGCCCCCCCCCCCCCCCCC